TCCTGCTGACTGTCAACTTTACAGGTGTATCGTCCCTCGTCTTCAGCTCTCAGATTGTCCAGACGGAGGGAGAAGTTTCCATGTTGAATCTGATCAGTAAAGAAATGAGCTCTATCATGATAATCCTGCTGCTGGGACTCTGGTCGACTCACCATCTTGATACAGATGAACCAGAGTCTGTTCTTCTCCATTCCACCTCCAGATCCTCCATTAGTAAGAGTTCATCAACATAACTGGGCAAAACCACTGAAGACCCCAGAGGAGCAACCAGAGGACCTGAGGGACCGTGCACAGTGAACCCTATCAAGAAACAGACAAATTGATTCATGTGTTAAAAATCGCGTATAAACTGAAAAGTGATAATACTTACCATCAGCGACCATCATAATAAGTAGTGACATTAAAATACGGATAAGAATGTCCATCATGTATTAAAATTAGACAAAGCTATCATTATATCATAGGGTGACCCTATGGCCTTATTTTACTGACAAATGTCGTGAGCGCATTATTGATACAATGAGTCCTGTGCACTCTCAAATCTCTCTGTGCTCATGCGCTATAGATATTCATTCTTTTCGCACCTGAATTAAACGTTGTCAAAAGTTATCAACCAATCAAATTTCAATGATGGATCTGTAATTTCTTTACAATTTAATACTACTTAGTCATAATATTAGAAATGAATCGGGTGTTTGGATGATTTGTAAATAATCTAGTTTAACAGTTTGGTCAAACCCTTTTGAACGATTTATCTAAACAAACAAAAAAGCATATGATTCTTAAAATTAATGTGGTCATATAGGCCTCTCTCTCTCTCTCTCTCTCTCTCTCTCTCTCTCTCTCTATATATATATATATATATATCTTCTGATTTAAGGCAGAACTATTTAGATATGGGTCAGATGCACTATTCCCTAAACCTATACTTAAGATTTGGAGACCAAATATAACACTATAATGAATTTTTCATTTTTGCCATAACATTACTACATTATATTCGATGGTTTTAATGCGTTTGCAGACAATGTAATTACATGTAACTATCATATAACTGTATATCCACTGTTTTAGAGAAGAGTGCCATCGAATGTATAGCTAATATTAAGTGGATTTTCATT